GTTAGCCAAGTAGCTTTCTTCAAGTAGAAGATGGATTTATCCTTGATAAAATCCATTTGTTGGCTCAATAACTTGCTGGTGAGAAATTCTGAGTTTGCAAGATATTTAACTTCATACTCTTTGGCAAAGAGAAAGTGAAGATTGGTGAATCTAGAATATGTGGCGGACAGGACTATGAATAGATTGGTCTGATTCCCATCAGTAAAATAAACTCGTGCATGTAGAGAGGATTATTTATATATATATTTTTTCAAAACATTTGCGTATCATGAAAGCAATACACATCCAAATACATATACATCAGATGCCTACCATAACAGGCAAAATTCCATAATACAAAATGATATTTTTTTGCCCATCACATGCCAAACCTCTGGAGGTGGGAATCTGGAGAAGATACTTCCAGATGTTCTCTATAAATCACCACTTATATATATATTTACAAGAAGAGCTGAAAAAAACCTGATTTTGTCACAACTGAAACTGATTAATCTAGCCCTGTGAACCTGGATCAAGATTTTCAGATTTTTAGAAGATTCTGATGGGACATATAATTTGGCATTATTTTTCCTCTGTTAATATCTTTTATTTAATTTTTTGTCTGTTAGTTCAGATTCTTCTTTGCTCGGTCTATTAGCAGATCCTACAAGAGTACATTGGCTCCCGTTGCACTTAGAGTTCATCACTGTATGAAGGGGAAGCTACCATATTCCTCCCCTGCTTGCTGTATGCTCATTGGTTTAGTATCCAGGTCCAGAATTAGATGAACACCCAAATATACATTAATATTTATTCCTCTAAGCCATCCATGTAAGTCACCATGAGTGAGTTGGGAGACCATATAAATTTCATAGATGGGAGGGAGGAGAGAATGGGAGAGAGAATAGATTGGATGGATGGATGGATAAAATATCGCTTCTACTACATATATATTTTTTTCATCTCATACTTGAGTCAAATACTAGTTGCCAATGTTAGTTCTTGATAATCAAAAGAAACCCAGCAACTGGGCTTGTGTAACAAAGCAGAATTTTGCTGCTTAGTTGTAGCAACATAGAGATCATGCAGAAACAGAAAGCAGAACCATACGACTTGTAAGGAAGCTTGAATTATGAAATGAAAGAGAGATGGGTTAAAAGGATGAGGGACTCCTGTTCCCAGGGCAGCATAATCAAGCATTCCGGTGGGTGTTATTAATGGATTTATGAGCAGGCTTTGCATTTAGAGGCATTTATAACAAATAAGAGAGGTTTGCTCGTTCATTACCCAAAGTGCTCCGTCGATGGAAAGATGGTTTGGTGCATAATTTTGCCTTATTAATCCGTCCAACGTTAGACTGCAGTTATTTAGAGCAGGGTGTTTTTTTTAACCTTAGTGAGTTTAAGATCTGCAGATTTCAACTCCAGACTTCCCCAGTAATACCAATAGCAATAATAACCCTTTGAATTATGAGAAACCTTTTGAAAAGCATTGGATTAAAATTTAATGAGAAAACTACATAGTTGTACCAACTTCTAAATGGAGCCCCGTTTTCTTTCAGATTCACTGGCCCAGCAGCTCCCAGCAGGTAGAAGAATGCACAATCAAAGGGAGATCTATGGTTTGTGTTAATTGTGAAATGCTTTCTTTCCATTTTTGCTGATTTTTGCCTGCTGATTAGAGTTCAAAAGGATCTTGTTTTAATCTGATCTGAGCAACATGCCACTCTGAGGCTGGGAAAGGACGTGGGACAGAAGAGCCAGTTCAATAGTGAGATTCTCCTTTTAACTGAAGGGTTTGGGTTATTTAACTGTAAAAACAACATAGGGAAACGGCAGAGATTGTCACCAGAAAGTATAACAAATGGGGTAACTGTGAACATCCATTTGTGTCCTCTAGTCCTTTACACACATCTCTCCTTCGGTGATCTTGCACAGAGCGTCCGATAAAGATGCTTGCTTCCTTTGATACATATTTCCTATTTTTCCTCCGTGACTCAAGGAAGGGATCCAGCTCTCCTTCCTCCATTGGCTGTGGGCTGAGAGGTCACCAACGGACAATGATCACCCGGTGACCTCCCATAGCTGAGGGTGGATTTCCATCAGGGATTCCCCTTCAGTACCTGGATTGCTACAACACATTGCTTTGTATTCTTTTTTCCCCCCTCCTTCTAATCTTCTCAAGCAGAGTGAAGCCAGATTAACACGAGAGAGATTAAAAACAGGCAGAAGAGCCTGGAATCGGTTCCTTTTCTTGAATAGCCAGCTCCAGATTACTCAAGAACCCTGAGACCTGATCCATGAATCACGTCCCTTGGCCAGTCCACTGACAAGGGTGGCCAACAGCTGCCCTCCATTGGTCTTGGTAGAGCTGTTAAGGGGTCTTGAAGACCTGCAAACCAGGCCAATATTGTCCCAGCAGATTCCGGGTAGAGCAGTGGAGAAGTATCGGCACCGCCTCTTACAGTTCTGCTGTTTGCCTCAAAGGGCTTAATGCAGCTTTTGAATCCGACTGGCATAACGCCTTTTTATAAGCTTGACTCAAACTAAAAACTTCATGATATCACTAGAATAGAATTGCTTTAAAAAATACCAGCTTACTTTTTACCTCTGTGTTTTTACTTCCCCCTGTAGGAGGAATGTGCAAATCACATCTGTGCTTTACACCGATACAACCGAACACACCTGCTGGTCTGTGGAACGGGAGCCTTCGATCCCGTCTGTGCCTTCGTCAGAGCCGGCCATCAGTCGGAGGTAAGGCATGATGATATGCCCCGGAAAGCAGGTCTCTCTCTCTCTCTCTCTCACAGACACACACACAAACAAACCGGTCACGTTGCAGAGAGCCCAGGAGAGGGACCGTGTGCGTGATCTGTTTCCCTGCAGGATGGAAAATGTGCAAGGGATTCCCAATCAGCAGACTGTCTCAGAAAGACAGACCGCTTACTTACTCCAGGCAAGATGTTTATGTCTGAGAAACAAAGTCCCACAAGGAACTGCAGGGAAGGTTTGGCTAGTTAACCCGGGGGCGGGGGGGGGGGGCTGGGCTCAATATCAGAAGAGTTAAAGAAAACCAATGGAGAAATGTGCTCTGTTTCAATCGGTAGATGTTAGATTTGTCTTAGCATGCTTTAAATTTGAAAAGGCCTTTTCATGCAACTGTCGTATTGCTGAATGTTTTCTATTCTGAGTCAGTTTTCACTGTGGTGCCACTTGTTTTGCCATCTCACTTCACTAGTTTTGCCATCCATTCGGTAGAATGATAGAAAAATTTATTTATGGTTGCATTTTTTTCCTTGCAAGGAGGAAAAGTAATCAGCCAGATACATTGTTCAAGAATGTCCTAAATGTTAATTAAGAAAAAAAAATGTGAACGCTGGTTGACTTACTGTAGGTCTCGATAGTCATCTGATCATTATTACTGCTTACAAAAATAACCTGTGCAATGAATGTATACATCTCTATTACAAGATCATATATGATGTATGGATCAGAGCGAGATTGATATGGTTCTCATTTTAATGTAGCCTTCTCTAGCTCATATCTACCAAGTAATACATAAATTAGACTGCAATTCCCCTTCAGTTTCCACATTTTTCTTTACAAAAACTTTTTATAATGCCTCGAAGCTAACTGAGTTAAAATGCTGCCCATGCCTTGCTTTCCAAACTGCCCTTCTAACCAAGGATTTGTTAGTCACAAACCACAATGAATTTTCCATGATTTGATTGTGTTATCACACTTTTTCTGATAATAAACTAGAAGAAACAGATTTGGGGAAAGCGTAACCAGAATTAGTTGGCACCTATATTAAATTGCAGGAGAGAGACATAGGATTAAACCACAACTAATTTTCCCTAGCCACAACTGCCAATGAAAAAGAGAATAATTCATGAATAATTTCTCTGGGAAATATTTTGAACAAGATCTTTTATTTCTTAAGATTTTGAAAAACTCCTAGTTGCTTGGAGCGCAATCCACGAGTGATATTTGTATTGTGAGCCGCCCTGGGTCTTTGGAGAGGGGCGGCATATAAATTGAATAAATAAAATAAAATAAATATTTAAATTGATGTAGAAATACTTCATACTGATCACATATTTTTGTCAGCAGTTATTCCGTGGTTTGAAAGCCTGGTCTGAATTGGAGGCATAATTGTAAGAATGCCATTTGTGTTTATGCCTGCACACTTAATCTGAATACATCTTATTATTCCTAGGTTATGTATGCATGCATACTCTAGGTAAATTGTGAGAATGCCTAACCCTGCCACTACGAGGCTGTCGTTGGCTCTTAGTTGTAGGTTGTCAGCAGTGATAAAGATTTGTGTAGGTAAAACCCTGCAAGCAGGTTTACTTGCGTAGGGCAAAATTAAGGAAACTGTGATGTTAGCATCACAGTACTAATTCCTCAGGCAATCCAAGATAAACAGTACAGATCCAAATCTTTGGGGTTTTGAGGCCAAACGTGTGTCTGGGTATTAAAAGGTAAGATGAAGCCTTCTTTGAATCAACTCATGTGGACAGCCAGGCAGTTTTCTTAGCAGTGATGCAGAAACTGTCCGCCATGTTTCTTCCTCTTTCCATCTTGTCTGTTTCATTGAAATGCCATTGAAGCTTTGGCCAGGCCTGACCTTCGCCGTTTCAAAGGCCCTGGAAGGTCTGCCGGGTGCTGCCTTCTACTTGTCAGATCAGATGAATATAACAACATAGAGAAGTATAGGGCAATCATTTCATTTCCAGATACATTTTCCTATTCTTCGGAATATGTTTTGCTTCTATAAAATTCCTTATTGCCAACTGGAACTTCCAGGTGTATCCAGCACAATTATCCTTGGAATAAAACTCCCTGGTAACAAGACACACATGCTTAATAGCGCTGGATGCTAGCAAGTTTCTTTGTAATGTCATACCATACCGCACCTCAGATATTGTGGCCAAGGAGCACAGTAGCTTCTAATTCAAAGGAATCCTGGACTGTCGGGAACAGGGGTGAAGCTGTCCAGGATCCTTATTTTATAGGGAAGAAAAACATTAATAAGACGCCCAAATAATAACTCTTGTTATATAATCAAATTAATGACCCTGTGAGAACAAATCTGAGTGGGAAGAACCAAGAAGGCAGCTGATCCCAGCCGAACAGAAGGATTGGCTTACGGTGTGCCAGCTCGGCTTTCAGGGCACGCAGGTGAGACGGATGTTGGAGGTCAGACATTCGTACTGCATGCCTGTCTGTCTCTGTGAGCTGATACTCTTGGAGTGCCAGCTATGCCCACTTTGCCTGGCTATTTATTCAGCTCTTCCCTTGTTATGCTTAAGCTTTAACCTCAGGTAAGATTCCTTAGGAAGAAACGGATAAAAAATATGCTCACACCTTACTGTGTTTACATTCAGCTGATACAGGGACTTTGCTCGGTTTGCCCAGAGGGAGAGCTTGGGCTTCAGGGTGAAAGCAGGCAGGGCTTCCACTCCGGCGGCATTTTCCTGCTGCTCTCTTGCCCCTGTGCTCAGTCAAGGCCAGGCCCAAAGCCAGTCAGATCATTTGGGCGGGGGTGGGGTGGGATGGGACTGAGACCCAGAGCCCCCCCCCTCCATGAAAGTGACTAACCAGCAGGTGATCCTCTTCCCTGGTATCCCAGGGCACTGCCTGAGATTGTAGTAAGGGATGATGGGCTGGAGGGTGGGCCAGCGCAGACCCTCTCCAGCTGACCTTCTGACCAAACACCTTCAGGGACCGTGGGGGGGGGGGGGGGTGCTGCTGTTCCTCGCCTGCTTTAATGCTCCTGCTAAGGAATAAGCAGGGCCAGTGAGGGCCAGTCCGTAAATCTCCCCAGGTAAAGAACAGAGAGTCCACGTCTCCAAGCGGACGGTTTCTGGGTGGGGACGGTGTGGTTAAAGGCCAGCCCGGTCCTTCGGCTGAGGGGCCTTTAGACACTGGGCATCTTTTCAATCCTTTCCACAGGATGATGGCTGCCTGGGCAGATTTCCCCAGCTTTCTCAGGGGAACTGTGAAGTAAACTGATAACAGCTGTTGGAGGACCCATCTGTGTATTATGGGATGTCAGCGTCACATATGCGTATGTGTGTATATAGAAAGGGAAATAAAACTGACAAGGTGAAAAGCTCCATATTAATTGTCCCTCTAAGCCGTGTTGTTCCTCACTTGCTCCATCTGACAAAGAAAGGAAATGCAGATAAATGAATATTACTGTATTAATAAGACATCTGTTAGCTGGGTGAGTTGTACTCGTCAGCCGGAGGAATTGAGAAATGGGTTTTCCCTCCTAGTAGGTTGTAAAGCGATTGCATAAATCCATCAGCTGAGCATGGAAATGAAGGATGGAGCCAGCCAGGGTCACCTGCAGCCGGATCTTCTCCAGGCCATTTAGCTGCTGGATGGAGTCCTCACCTTAGGAGCCAGGGACGAGTTTTCTGAAGAATGAGCAAAGGAGAAGAAGAAACATTTTGCTTGCTCTCTTTTCATGAAAGGAAGCAAAAGGGGCACAGAAAACAGCCTCCATGTAAATGAACATCAGATTGAGATCGTTGTGACTTCCCTGCCAGCAGCAAAAAGCTACCGAAGGAGAAAGCATGGGGCAAGACTTACAAGGTCCCATTTAGAAGACGCTCCTAAACACGGACCATTACACTCTTTCAATGGTTTGCCTTTTTTTTCCCCACTGTTTAAAAAATGTCTCCTGTTTTAATTTGATCAGTGCCAAATCTGCAATGTTTCATTTCTAACGAATCCTAGCTCTGGATGCACCTAGGTGGGTTCCCCCCCCCCCCACTTCAAGAGATGCTGCTGAGTGTTTGGAGAAACTGAGGCCCTCCACTCTGCCCTCTTGCTGCTGGGATTTACACCTACCTAAGGGAGAACAGAATTGCTTCCTTTGTAGGCTTAAACTCATCTTTTCATATGAATGTTTCTCCAGAGAAGTTCCCACAAATGCATCTCTCTGTTTTTTCTTCTTTTTTTTGCAACTTTTCATCAACTCATTGGAAAAATAATAGGTCCAATTGGCAAATGACACAAATCATATTGTCATCCAAACTAATCTAATCTCCAAGCTAATCTTAGAGGCAGCAATAAAGTTTAAAATGATTTTGAGAGACTAAAGGAGTAGGTTGAGGAAATTGAATGGAACCAACTAGAAAATAAATGCAGGTAGCTCCTAAATTCCAAGAACAGGCCTCAAATATTTGGGGCTCTCGACTTTTAAAATTCAGAGAAGTCAAAACAGAGAAAGAGAAGGGCAACGAGCATCATCAACAGACTGGAAATTAAACAATACAAGGAGAAGGTGAGGACAGAGAGATATTTAGTTTGGAAAGAAATGGCAAAGAGAATATATGATAGTGTTCTTCAGTTACCTGATGAGAAGCCAGACAGAAGAAAACAGAGACCTATTCCCTCTCATCCCAGGGTGCGGGATATGGAACAAGACCTAAAGTTATAGGGAGGCCAATTCCAGTTGAATGGTAAAAGCATTTCCCAACAAAAAGAAGAGCTGAATAGTGGAGCCAATGATTTAGGAAGGTTGTAGATGCAGGTTGGATTAATCGTCTGAGCGTCCCTTTCCAACTTTATGCTTCTACTATTTTCATTGAAAATAAACCAGGCCAAAGCAATGAATCAACAAAAGGCAGTTTTGGCTTGTAAAGGTTTTGGTTTAGTTACTAGTTTATTTACTTCCTATTTTCTTCTTTTATTTCTTTTCCATTTGCACACCAGCCATTCCCTGGCAGCAGGCTAGAGAAGGCCAGGAATTGTTGCTCCTTTGTTCCAAACATCATCATAAATACCTAGATAATGCCAAAATTTGACAGCAACGGGACTTTTTCTTTGCTATTATTAATTTCCATACAGTCATAGATGAGAAATTAAGATTAAAGTCAGAACAAGATGCTTCAAGGCAAATTATTGGGTGCAAATATCATTAAAAAATGAAGCAACATGCTTATCATCAAGCATCATTTATCCAAATCTATTAATGATGATACAGAGAATCTTAATAGTTCTTTTCATAGCACAAAATGTTGCAAATTTTTCCAGAGATTCTGATATACCAATACTTTAATTAAAAAACTTAAAATCTATGAATAGGGTCGATTCACACAATTGCTAATATTGGGAAACATTAACGCACCCTGCTAGATAAAGGTGTAAAGGACAACCCTGTGTCCTTGTCTTGGTGCTCAAATAGACAGCTGTCACTAATGAGAGCTGTGATTTGATTTCCCCTCCAAGACCTTCGAAGAGAAAGGCATCCCGTCTCTTGCAAATGTCCTCCTTGAAGAGCAGGAAGGGAGTTATAAAAATACCGTGGGATGGTCTAAGGGAGCCACTGACGTCATATTAATGATGATTGAAAGTTTGAAATCTGTTCTGTAAATTGATATCATAATTTATCAATTTATACATGATGTGTATAAATTCTAAACGGAGATGAATTCTCTAGCAAGAAAACAATTAAAATAGGAACTAGCCATGCATATTTGATTATAAAACTGGAATTCTGTATCAAATAACTCAAAATGTCCTAATTGGTAGTTTTCTGGTTGGTCGGCTTCTTGACCAGACAGCGACATACTTAAGCACGAATACACCCTGACTTTGGGCAAATATTTCCAGGGAATAAATCGGTCACACTTTATAATGAGGGAGAGCGAGAGGGAGGGATGGCTGACTCCTGTTTGATCAGCAAAACCAGATGTTCCCTTCCCTTGGACAGCAGCAGGGATGAGGTCATTGGGAAATGAATCCAGGAGAAATAATTGCACAGGGCTGCATTTGTTTGGACTGCAAGATGATATGTCCAAAAAGATAGTTTCAAATAGCAAAAATAAACATTTGTACAATCCTTGCTTTCAGTTGGTTCCTGGTTTGGGTGGGTCATGTTGCTGAGAAGCCGCTAGGAAAGCAGGCATAGCCCATTGAGAAAGAGTGCAAGAAACACCATAATTAACTTTCCATCTTATCTAATCGGCAGTATCTAAACTAAGGCTGCCCGTGTAGGTGACTGCGCACATCCAGACATCTCCCGGAGCTTCGCAGGGCTTGCTTCTGTTAGTAAGTTTGCTCACGTGAATTGCAACCTGACAGTTTATTCCAAAACCCTTTTGACTGGCGGCACAGAGTGGTCTGGTTTTCCTTCTGTTGACACAAAAATGTTGTAAAATGTTTGCACTGAATCCCTTGCTAGTTGTTCATCAGCTCCATAATAGGCTAATCCCAAATAGCTGAGAGGTTATTTTCTTACAGTGATTTCATTCATACAAATCTTTACAGGTTTTTTTAAATCCTTAAACTACCTTCCTTATACTGATCTGTATAAATACAGATATTTATATATCTGTTCCTTTCAAATCCCCAAAATTTCCCTCTGACCATTCCAGCGATAGATCTATCTAAAGTCTCCACAACAACCTAGTAGTGAATCTCCAACAGATTCCAATAGATCTCATACGTGTCAGTTTCATTGTGCATAATTATGTTTCCATGTACACCATTAGCTAATTAATGTACGTTTTAGCTATATATACTTGAAGTTTACAATTATTGTTAATTACAAAGTCTACATTTTGGGGAAAAAATAAAAATAATTACATCTTCATCAAGTGTCCCCCGTGTTCATCAGTGATTAATAAGTTGATGTTAATATGGGAGAAGTCTTAATTTTGTTTCTACTTCAGGTTGAATTATCTTAGATCAGCTTGACGAATATCTCTCTTTCGAGTTTGGTTGACTTCACTCCTGAGCTTCACGATGTGGTTGTGCTGTAAACTGGAATAATTTGGGGGGGGGGGGAACTATACTTGAAAATGAAGTCTAAGTATCGCAAATTCTCCCTCCCCGCCTTTTTTTAAAATCACAAAGTTCTCCAGTCCTCCCTTTCTCAAAAAGGTCACTGTGCAAGAATTCCCTCATTTTGTTCTTCTCATTTAATCACTCATATGGCATTCTAGTTCCACTTTAAAAATTCATAGACTTTGAGAATTACATCTCCCTGCTCTCCTTCTTGAGTTCATGAATTGCAGTTGTTATTGGCCCAGAGAAAAGGCACCCAAATGTATCCTATTCCCCATCCCCACTAAAAAACAAAGCAAGAGTATCCCACTTTCCCCACAGTGAGAAGACTTGTGGGAGGGCTGTTATTTTCTCTGGTTAGGAAGAGAGGCAGCCCTGCGGTGCCCCTCGCAATCCTGAGGGTATCCAAGTGGATCCGATGCCCCAGGCCTCCTCCCTGACCCTTCCTTTTCACCTGGCCCTTGGGCATCCTTTGGGTGGGGGGGAGGGGAAGGAAATGGGATAATAACTTCCATTATTGGGTGGTCTCGAGGGGATGCCCTCAATTACTTCAGAGCACAGTGTTGCCATTAACATGATTATAATTTCATTCAACAATTATGAAATGTTTAATTAGAAACATTGTGTTTGAGGTATAATGATGATAATCCAGATCTCCTCTTTAAAAAAATGTAACTGAGAAATACAACCAAGTTAAGGTGACATGTTTATGAAACCATGTTGCTTTAAAAGCTTCGTGGTATTAAACAGAGGATTACAGCAAACACCTCCTTGGACTCGGATGCAAATATATTGTATATCATGCTGCAGGACGGTTACTGCCCGTTCCCCTTATCTCCAATGACCATCTTAAATATACTTTGCAGAAGCTTTACTGGACAAGGGCTCATTGCTTGAACTTTGACTTGAGCTTGACATTTATGTGTCTGACACTTATGTGTCTGAAAAAACCCAGGTCCTGTCAATAAATCACCCTAAACCTTTCAGGGTTTGCTTTTAATGCCCATTCTGGCTCTCCTATTGAAGTCCTAACTCAAGGACCCTGGGAAGTGGAATATTCTAGCCCTTTCAGGTGAAATCCAACGGAAAGTGCCCGTTACTTCCTGCTTCTCTGATCCAATATGATGCAATGGAGAAGGGAAAGAAAAGTCAAAAGTCATTAAATGGGGGAAACTTCTTCAGGGGCTACAAACACTTGGGAGAATCTCTGTAGATGTAAAACAGGCTAGCCAGGAATGTAGTCCAGGGTGCTTTGAGGTCAACAAGGAAGATCTGCAGATTGCAATATTTTAAATCTTTGCTGTTTGGGATGAAACCTAGCTGAATGGAATATTTTATACTTTCATGATATCTGTAATAATGAGGGTTTTTTAAAAAAATAAGTATAGGCTGTCTATGTCGATACTTCTCTGCGTAAGACAATGGAAATATTTGGATGCTAAAACTTAGTAAAATAGTCCCAGTTACAGTAAAGCTTCAATTAAGTGAACCATCTGGGCGGAAGATTTGTCACTTTAAATCATTTTTATGATTTCTTGATTATGCAAATGACTTGATCAGGAAATAGTAATTGGCCTAAATTTGCACTAATTCTTCTAGTATTGTGTTCTGATTATTTTTTGGGCCTGCTCAGTTGCTATATCCACATCAAGAAACAAACATAACTTTAAAAACCATGAAGGAACTGGCAATTTCCATACACAACTTATTCCTCTTAACTTAGAGGTATCATAAATTTAGAGAGAGAGAGAGAGAGGGAGAGGGAGAGAGAGAGAGAGAGAGAGGGAGATCCTGCTGAGGGTCAATTTTCCCCTTAATGGCCAAGAACGGCTAAATCACAGCATGTAGCAGATCTGGACTGCAAAAATCCAGCCGGCCAGTAGATGGCAAAGAAACTCCACAAACTCTCAACATTTTGCTTTCCCCTTGTAGTCACCCAGCGTTTTGCAGTTCAGATCTGGTATCCCTGATATTGAGAGAATGGTTTTCTACTGTATTGACATCAACACACATAAATCATCCGCATAGTGGGGGGACGACAACAATCCCAGTGTGGATTGTATCAAAGCCAACCGATGCTGTTTCTCACCCTGTCCTCGAAGGCCAGTATGGAAAAACTCTTTTTAGAGAAAAACTGTTGAAATTTTGCAGACGGCTTCCCTGATGAATGTGTACATCTGCAAATAGTTATGAAGAGAGCTTTGCTCTCTTGTTGAATTGGGGGGGGGGGATTCTGCCAAAGAAACATCTCACAATTTTAGAGAAATGTACATTTGTGGTCCACCTTAACTTCGAAGGGTTCCTTGAAAACATAAGCCGTGTTATTCAATTAGTAATTGCAGCTGTGCAAACACACTGTAGATAACAAAAGATGGCAAAACCACTGCTGGTTTGTCTTTTAGGCCTAAGCCAACACAACAAGTATTTCACATACAGCAGGCGGCTTAAATTGTACAAAGGGTGAGAGTTTTATTGAATAGGAATGAAACAGAAAGGGAGTGAAAGCTATTCTCTATAGGAAATCTCTGAATCAATACAGGCTTTGGGCTTTATTAAGTGAAAATATCACTATATTTTGGGGAAAATAATTTTTTCCCATAGAATAAATGGAAAAATTCAGAGGGGAAAAAATGCATCATTTAATTTGCCTATTGGGTTCTTAGTTGCTAATTCATATATATAAGCAGAGAAGAGTATCAATTAAGCAGAGCATGGAAACATTTCCTTAAAACAATATAAGATTTTGTTAAAACAACCCGTAAATATCAGGAACTTGCGGGAGGCATATCTCATTAAAATAAAGTTATATTTGGCATCCAGCACAATTGTTCTTTAAGAGGGGAATAATAGCAATTGGTTTTTGAAGAAACCTTCTATCTAAAATTATGTCATTATTTGTTGAAAAAAATGCTGAAATTTGGAATATATTTGCAATGCATTCATATACCCTATTTCCCCCAAAATAAGACATCCCCTGATAATAAGCCCAATCAGGCTTTTGAGCGCATGGCAATAAGGCCAAGCACTTATTTCAGGGTTCAAAAAAATATAAGACAAGGGTCTTATTTTCGGGGAAACACGGTATTTGGAATATTATTTAGAATACAAATATCTAATATATAAATGTAGGCTATAATAATAGTAGATTACTATAATGTAATCAGTAAGATCATAAATTAAGGCAATTAAGTGACCGGAAATAGAGCAGTTTGTTGCTTTTTCTTTCTTTTTTCTGGATTTATAGCAAAATCAGATATACTCTTCAGATATTCATACATTCAGCAGCTTTGAATTTGTGTTTCTTGCAAGCAGACAGACTATACATGCAGCATCCTATGGCAAGGCTGCAATTCCCCTGAAGAAGTGGAAATGGCCCCTGACAGTCTTTCTGGATTTGTTCTGTGAGACTTCGGACCATTTCTTACGTCCCGTGTAGCTGAATGATGATTTGAAAACAGCCCCTCAGCTTCTCAAAGCTTCCCTGACCTGATTTATTTGAGGTGAAAACTGGTTCCCCTGCAAGGAATTTCCAGGCTATTTTAGTCTCAAAGACAGGCAGTAGGTAGGGGAAAAGTCTCCAGCTCTTTCAGTGTGAGCATAACTGTACTTGAGTCTCTGCTCCAGAATATCTGTCCGTTGCCATCATTCCTCTCCTTGAATTGTTTTTCTCACATTGACTCTTACATTCAGTCTTTGGCTTAACCACATAGTGCAACCTTCCACATGCTAAGTGGGAGACAGTTCCTACAGTAGAACCTAGAATAAGAGGGTTGGAAGGGATCTTGGAGGTCTTCTAGTTCAACCCCTGCTCAAGCAGGAGACTCTGTACCATTCTGGACTAACGACTGTCCAGTCTCTTCTTAAAAACCTCCACAACTTCAGGGAATTTCTCCTTAGTTCTAGGTTGCTTCTCTCCTTGATGAGGAGCGTCCATCTGTTACTTCCTGTCCTGCCTGCAGGTGCTTTGGAGAATAAGTTGACCTCCTCTTCTCTATGACAGTCCCTCAAGTACTGGAAGAGTGCTATCAAACATCTCTGAGGAGTACTTCATTTGAGCAAATCTGCTTTGATCAAACAGAGTGCAAACCTATAACACCACCATCCTCTGTGTGTGGCTTCTCCATCCTTTAACATTTAACCCACCAGGAGACTGGACAGTGACAACAGCAGATGTGAGAACTCTGGATTTCTTATAAGCTGGAGTAACACATACTCTCCCCTTGACACAGCTTTGGTCTTTCTCCTTTCCTATTGACTTTACAATTATTTATTAACAATAAGATCGAAGTCAGAAAGAGAATGCATTTCTATCTTGTTCTTTGTTCTCTGTGATAAGGAAAAGAAACTATCCAATTATAGTTATGCTATATTAAAAATCCAAAGTGTTTCTAACAGGCAATAATCACTTTGCACCAAAACAAAATAATCAAACAGATTCTTAAGCACAAGCTTAAAAATAAACAAGGATTTTACATCTCCAGACAACTTGTCTGTCATTGCTAGGACTTAATTTATAGGTTTGCTTTGTTTTTTAAAAGTAATGCTATTTTCTGACACAGGGAGTGCACTTTGTGCTTTACAGCTCAGCTAATGATATTTTAAAATTAAAGATGGGAATCTGAGATAGCTTCCTTTCTGGAGATGGAGAAGTGAAGGGCACCTATTAAAAATTTGCCTCCCTTTCATTCTCTTTGAGATAGACATGGGTTCATTCATTAGAGAGATCAAAGGAAATTCATCCAACTTTGATCCTGATTTATATAAACTTCTGGCTCGGTCATTGCAAACAGTGATACGGCTGGAAGT